CCCACTGTAGCCGAGTCCAAGAATAGTGAACAATTAATTTCTTTCTTGGCAGAAAATTTCCCCTAACAATTATCTGGAGCACCACATGATATCAACATGTATCAGTGTGTGACAGAAGTAAAAAAAGTATGCTGATATTAAAACTTCTTCTGCATGTGCTGGCATAAGTATACATGTATATCTTTGCAAGTACACAGTAGAATATCATTAATAAGATGACATTATGATTTATATACTATTACCAATGAATTTAGATTTATCTGATCCCATATCTTCATTGAATTTGTAAATTATAATTTTTTTGGTAGGAGAATTAGGAGAATGAAGACTTGCAATGAATTTTCTGGGATATTGTCATGTTTTTTTAAAGTACACTGTGAATCCTCCACAAAGATTTTTTTTAATAAACACTCGAGAAGTTGCCCAATGATAGAAAAATGTCAACCTTTAATACTCTATTTTCGAGAATTTACCTTTGAATGCAGACTTGATTATCGGGTAGCAGATATCTGGTATGTAAACTCTTTCCATAGCCCGTTTGAAGCATGTTGGAAGCCTGACCATGCAATCTTTGATTTCCAAAATTTGTCTCTTCTCAAATTTCAATTCTTTCACTTTGTACTAAGGCAAAATTTCAGTTAATGCATTTTCTATGTTGTTTTTCCATTTCTACGTCGCCATCTTCAACATGTTCCTAGGTCGCGTTTATAAGGAGCATTCTGATTGGTCGATATAAATACTTTCTGGGGTCAAATATTACGTTATATAAGGTCACAAAAGTGAAACCTTGTAGGGTACTTGTTAGATCTTCGTATGTAGTATAACGTAGTATAACGAAATCCGAGATCTATATTTTAATTAGATTGGACTTTTTGTCCTGTGACTTTTCGTCCGTGACTTTTTGTTCTGTGAATTACTGTCCTACATTCTACTATAGTATTCAATCAGGAACAAAAGTAGTCATTTAACATGTCAAAAAAAGAAATCAGAAAGGAACTTTTTTATATAAAAAAAATATGTAGCCAGTAGAAATTTGTCTGTGGAAAACTGATTTAAATGATTAATTTTTGATTGACCTACAATTACATTATTTGTGGAACCTTTGCATGAATTTACTAAATGAACGTACATTATGTACAGTGTTGTCGAAATCACTATTTTTGCTGTCATGAAATATTGAATATAAATCTGTCATTATTTGTAGTTTTTTATAGACTTAATATCACAGACCCTGATTAAAAACAATGTGTATCATAAGTACAGTAAAATGCTCTGCTGAACTGTAGAATTTTAATGTTCTGTTTCATAGACCACAGAAGTACTGCACTATCCTTATCTTTACTCTTTCCTATCGGGTAGTGAAACTCGAGTTTGAAATTAGAAAGATTTAAAATTGTAGACAAGTTTTATCTGATCTTTTGTGGGTTTATGTTTCGGTGCAGTGCTATGTGGGCTGTTATTTTCTTTTCATTTGTCATTTTTTCATCTGAACTACATGACCTTGTACTTTTTGTATTGCCCCTTGACATCTCCTGCTTCTGTTTAAACCTTTACCACTAATATCTCATCTGGTTTAAATAAAATAGTGTCTCATTTTCGGAATTTGTTATACAGGAATTCATTTTAATATCAGTTTTTTTATAATCATATTAACTGCTTGGTCTCTTCACACAACTTATGTTTAGGACGGAATGCATCAATAGGTACATACATGTACCAGGTCACCAATATATAAGTACACGTTATGTGCTTTTGACCTCCACAAGAATTCTTAAACATTCATAGATGTGCATAGAATATTTTTGTCGTTGGGTTCTGAATAGTCATAGCAGCTGTGCCTTTTCAATTTATTGCAGAAAATATTTGCATAAACATTTTTCAAAATAGACGAGGTGAAACAGTGATCACAGAATGAGGACATGTAAAACTGAAACAACACAACACAACAGATAAATATAAACAAGCACCATTGCTAAAGGACTGAAACAAACATAGATGATGACTAATATGAGCGACTAGTAGTGTACAAGTAGAGTGAACATTTCTTGCTTCTTATTCTACACATTTTGTCATTTCATGTAAACAATTAAATATGTTATTTTCCGAGGAGAGGAAGGAATTTGTGAAACGAAATATTTTGATTAGTACTGTCAAGTTATATATTCACAGGAGTGTTGTTGAATAAATGAACATTTTCCCTTTTTTTACATTATGCTACCTTTATGCTACAAAGGTAGCATTTCCATTCTCATGATGTACAAAGATATTATAGAGTGGCCTTCCAATGATAGTCATACATGTAAATCATTGTCTCATTGGCAATCATACTACATCATCATATTGTTATACATGTATATATGTAAAAATTATGTACATGTACATGTATACTTTGTAAACGTAAAGAAGACAAATGAAGTTGAACACAAGATATTTATTTGCATTTTTTTCCGTATAGTCTCTGCACAACTGCCACTTCTGTTTCAAATCCAATAGATTGAATGCGGAGTCTTGTATTTATTCTTAGTTCAATGATGTCACCATCACTTGCACAAAAATCGCATACACATGTACATCAAGTTTGGCATATGAACTATGATATTTGAACTACAATAATGTGGTGTTTTCACAGTCAGGATAAGCACATGTCATTTTCTCTCTTACAAAACCATTTTTTAGTATCACATTGATAGTAGTACATGTAATCGGTCCACTACATGACTATGCAGTAACATTTGAAAAAAGTCATCACTAATAGTTGTTCCTGTCTGCCAGGGAATCTTTTTTTCAATCAGAAAGGCTAGGGAGTCCTATATTCAGCACATGTATGATATTACATCTCTTGTATGCTGCACTGTTAGGCAAATTTGATCAACATCTTTGTTCTTTTGTAACATGCAGGATCATGTTAAAAAAAAAATGCTGTCAGATACTGAATGTAAATTAAATATACATGTATATAAACTTGTAAATGTCATCAAAGTGGTGGAAATAATGAAAAAAACAATTTATATACACAAAACCGGTATGTCTTGGGAAAGTAATTCCTGTGATGGGTACAATTGTTCTTTAAAGATGGACAATTTTATAAACTGTAGCCATGGACAGGTGTCTGTCTTTGTATTGAAGAGAATGAACATGGCCGACAGCTTGAATGGTCATTTTTAATTGTAAATTGCAGTAATAAGTGGGTGAAAATTTGGAAAAAACAACTGTTATACACAAATCCAGTATGTCATAGGAAAGTAATTCATGTGCTGGGAACAATTATTCTCTAAAGATGGAAAAGTTTATTGACTGTAGCCATGGACAGAGGCCTGTCTTTATACATGTTATATTGAAGAGAATGAACATGGCCGACAGCTTGAATGGTCATTTTTAATTGTAAATTGCATCAAAGCTGGTGAAAATATGGAAAAAAACAACTGTTATACACAAATCCAGTATGTCATAAGAAAGTAATTCATGTGCTGGGAATAATTATTCTCTAAAGATGGAAAAGTTTATTGACTGTAGACATGGACAGGGGCCTGTCTTTATATTGAAGAGAATGAACATGGCCGACAGCTTGAATGGTCATTTTTAATTGTAAATTGCATCAAAGTGGGTGAAAATATGGAAAAAACAACTGTTATACACAAATCCAGTATGTCATAAGAAAGTAATTCATGTGCTGGGAATAATTATTCTCTAAAGATGGAAAAGTTTATTGACTGTAGACATGGACAGGGGCCTGTCTTTATATTGAAGAGAATGAACATGGCCGACAGCTTGAATGGTCATTTTTAATTGTAAATTGCATCAAAGTGGGTGAAAATATGGAAAAAACAACTGTTATACACAAATCCAGTATGTCATAAGAAAGTAATTCATGTGCTGGGAATAATTATTCTCTAAAGATGGAAAAGTTTATTGACTGTAGACATGGACAGGGGCCTGTCTTAATATTTAAAAAAATGAACGTGGCCGACAGAGAGAATACTGAATTTTAATTGTAATATTGCATCAAATTGGGTGATTTAATGAAAAATTCAACATATTTATACAAAACCAGTATGTCTTGGGAAAAGTGATTCATCTCATAAATGGTTTTATTCCTTTTCGAATGAAAAGGTTTTCATGAAAAATACGTCCGTGTAAAAAATGTTCATAACGTCCATGTCGGCCAAGCTTTCCCCTTATTATTGACCACAATAAAACGTTAATTGTCACAATATTTTAACTAACAATTACTACAAACTGAATAAAACAAGGTAAATAATTTACGAAATTGAAATATATACTTACATTATGCTGTTTTGAAATGCTTGATGTAAAATAAAAATCGAAGCGGTGGTGAACTTGTCATAATCAGATGCAAAATGGCGATCTCGTTAAAGTCTCGTGTGATGCGTGTTTTTAATTGGATTTCGCTGACCACTGTTACAGTTGCCAATCTCTGTGTATATATGTCTCTGGTATCATAGGTCATATTAATTTGTTCAGTGTATGTTCACTGGTGTTAATATGTCCTTTGATTGAGTTAAGCTATTTCAGTTGATATTTTATAGTGTGTCTTTCTATGTTGTGATGTTACACTATTGTTTCAGAAAAAGGGTGAAGGTTTGGTACCATTAAAACGTTTAACACGCTGCATTTGTTTGCACCTGTCCTAAGTCAGGAATCTGATGTTCAGTAGTTGTCGTTTGTTGATGTGGTTCATAAGTGTTTCTCGTTTCTCGTTTTTTGTATAGATTAGACCGTTGGTTTTCCCGCTTGAATGGTTTTACACTAGTAATTTTTGGGGCCTTTTATAGCTTACTGTTCGGTGTGAGCCAAGGCTCCGTGTTGAAGACCGTACTGTGACCTATAATGGTTTACTTTTATATATTTTGACTTGGATGGAGAGTTGTCTCATTGGCACTCATACCACATCTTCTTATATCTATGAAGTTATCTTTTTTGCACTCATACCACATCTTCTTATATCTATGAAGTTATCTTTTTTTTATCATTAATTTCAGGACAATTAGGATGACTTAAGACAATGTCTGACTGCTGTAAACAACATATTAAGTGTATTGGGTTTGTATTGGTACTGGTTTTATTTATTGGTTTGATAATTGGCATGTCCAATGTGCTTCACAACAAGAAAGACGTTAAAGAACGTAAACCAGTATTCCAACAACAACGTCAGGCGTCTTCGACATCGTTCCTTGGCAGTATCGTTGGTCAACCACCAAAATGTCGACTCAAATGGACAAATACCAGCACTAACTCCTTTATAAAATACGATCAACAGATGGATAGATTTATTGTGAGAGAAAGTGGCATTCTACTTTTTTGGCTGTCATTACAAATTGATTACAAGAACATGGGAAAAGACACGATTTATTCTGCGTGTGTTGAATACAGCAATGATAATTATAAATGCACGGCCACAATTTTTAAGAACTTGGATGCTGGAACTCTTCAAGTAAAAGATAAACTTTTTGTACTTCCGGGATTTTATTTTACAGTTAACGTTGATTACACGTTTTTAATAAATAGAACTGAAAGCTCAAATATCTTAGTGATAGAAAAATCCTTCAACGGTGGATTGGGGATCCAAAGCAATTATACTACAAAGTATCATTAATTATCAGAAATCATAAGTTTTGGTTTAAAAACGCACAAATACTAACATGATATTATATTTCCTATTTTAATGCACGTAGATCACTTTTTACCTGTCTAAATTAATTAATTTCATATTTTTGGTATATTTTCTGCATTAGGTAAATTTGTGCTGTGGCGTCTGTTTTTTTTTTATAGAATATTGCAAATTAAAATAAAAAAGAAAGGTAATATATTTCATGGCAAAATCAGTACCTTATGCTTGCCGATTGTTGTAACTGCAGTTAAGTCAATCCTTTCTCTTTAAAGACCCATAGATAAGGTCGTTCTTCAATAAGAATTTCAACATACATTTTACTTTTTGGCTCGGAAAGACTACCTGTCCATCAATACACATTTCTTTATATAATATAAAGCGATGCAAAGCTTCATTTAATATCTCACAACTACAATCTACAACCTATAATCACACCTCCCTTCTGAAGAAATATTTCTATAAAAGTGTAATATTTCTCCACCTTTTTTTTTTCTTCCCAAGAACTAGCTTTTTATGTATATATAACAACATATATGAAATCAAGTAATGATTTTCGCTAAGTTTATTGTAATTACTTTTTGTCTGCCTATCAGCGTGTATATAAAGTGTTTAACTGTATTACATTTTAATTTATGGAAATGGATGTATATAGGAGTACTGTTCGTGTTTTATTATACAATTTTTAAAATACTTGTACACTTCATTCTTCTATTATTTGTACATGATGAGTTTAATAACAAAATATTTTTACACATTTTTCTGTCATCAAATTGATACCTTATCACTGCTTTTGTATGACAATATGAATCGCTGTACTAAATGGGCGTACACTTGGTGATTTGAATGGTAATTATACCCATGGAGCAAGTGTTGTAGACTACTCTATTGTGTCGGAGAGTGCATTGATTATATTTTGTACTTTAGAGTAGCCGAATTTGTACCTACATTATCTGATGTCATTGTAAAATTGAATGGGAAGTGTCAGCTCAATTTAAGGTGGTACCTAACACTACAGGGAGATAACTCTGTAAAAATCAGCTAAACGTTTTAATTACGTTGTATTGTTAAGGAAATATTAAGCTTCTCAATGATCAAAATTGGTGTTTGTCAAACTGCTATATAACCAATGAACTTTTTCTGATAAAGTGGTTGGTTCAAATTTTTTGAAATTTTTATATTTTTGTCAAAGGGTCAAAGTAAACATTTGGTCAAAATTTTATGAAAATTAAACGAGCCAAATTAATATTAGTCAAGGTGTTGGGTACCACCTTAATGCTAATTTACTAGATGATTGTACTAATCATGATTTGCATACTATGTCTTCTCGATACATGTGGTCAGAGAACTCAGCGGCACTGTTTCAGGATGCTCTAAACTCTCCGTCTGTACTGATCATGATTTACATACTAGGCCTTCTCGATACATGTGGTCAAAGAACTCAGATACAGTGTTTCAGGAGGCTCTAAACTCTCCGTCTGTACTGATCATGATTTACATACTAGGCCTTCTCGATACATGTGGTCAGAGAACTCAGATACAGTGTTTCAGGAGGCTCTAAACTCTCCGTCTGTACTGATCATGATTTGCATACTATGCCGTCTCGATACATGTGGTCAGAGAACTCAGCTACAGTGTTTCAGGAGGCTCTAAACTCTCCGTCTGTACTGATCATGATTTGCATACTATGCCGTCTCGATACATGTGGTCAGAGAACTCAGCTACAGTCAAAAATTCAGGTCAAAGGGCACAGGGTAGTGGTGAGACCCCACTGACCTCTCAATCTTCCTAATATTATGCAGACAGTTAGTTAGTATGTAGATACAAACGTGATTAAAAGGAATTTGGGTAAACTTCCTGTCTTCTATGTTTACGTAGGGCCCAAAGTGCCAGTTGGATATTCAAAATATATAGCGAAAACCTAGCTGAGACCGCTTAAATGACAATGAGAACGATCCGTGTATATTTGCGTCCATTTGTTTTTCATTTTGGAATATCAAAAACAAAAAACAAAAGACCAGAATGTTTTCATTTTTCGTTTTTGATTTCTCAAAAACCAAAACGAAAAACAAAAGTGTTTTCATTTTTCGTTTTTGATTTCTCTAAAACCAAAACGGAAAACGAAAGTGTTTTCATTTTTTGTTTTTGATTTCTCTAAAACCAAAATGAAAATCAAAAGTGTTTCCGTTTTTCGTTTTTGATTTCACTAAACAAGAATTTGTATTTAACTTTAATTATTTCTCGTTTTATAATGTACAATGTTTTCCTTTCTTGTTTCACAGTCATTGATAGTAAATAATTCCAATGTAAACACCCCGGTGTTCTTTCAACATAATGTAGACAAAATAGACCGCCTGACTTATGAATTGAAATACGGTGATAAATGAATCAAAGCCTTTCAAATTACCTTGTTTATATCTTTAATAAAAAATAAATTATTATATTTAAATATTAAACGAATCATAAATTTAAATTGTACAATATAATATTATATAAAGATGGTACAAATAAATAGATTGATTACAACATCACATTAACAAGGGAGGTTACTACTTTTAAAAACTTATAAGAAAACTACCCCGGTCGTTAAAGTATACATGCACAGTCACTGTGGTTATCAGATCTTTAATCGAAGATAATGTCGACGGATGCAAAAGACTTTATCAATCTGAACAATAAGGGTGCGTGATCTTTACTTTTAAATTTAGAAAGGTTGATCTCAGATGATTAGAATTCATAACCATGCAAGGTCAATTATACGAACATTCAGGACGATAATGTGTTTTGCTTGATCAGTTGATTGAAAAACAAATTTCCGCAATTTCACAATTCAAACCGGGATTAGCATTCAATCATTTTGCCATTCGGAGCCTACTCGTTATTAGTTTTGCTTATTTTTGAAAGCTATATGGTGACCTTAACTAGAGCCTGGGTGTGGATGGGGGTTTACGGAATAGAGAATAGTGGGCAAAAAATATAAAAAATAGAGACAATGGACCAAGAAATAAAACATAATAGAATAATGAGGTGTTAAAATATAAAAAGAATAGAATAATTGGCAAAAAGAATAAAGAAATTAATAAACATGATAAAGAATAGAGAAAAATGGCCTGAAACACTGATTAAAAAATAGAGAAAAATGGAAGAGAATATCAAAGAATACAGAAATGAAGAAATACGCATCCAGACCATCATACTAGTTGCCTAAACCAACGTTATTTTGTCTCCGGTAGAATGTTATTGGTTTTCATGCGTTTTCTTTTTATTTCTATGCCTATCAATTAAGACATGAGTTTTCATAATTTGCCAGTTTATTAAATTATAAAAAAAGACTAAGCCGAACATCACTCTGGATTTTTTCTCAAGTAGACCTCAGCTACCCACCCTACCACACCATTACCAAAAAGGTAATAAAAAAAATCTACGGCAATACTTTTGTCCGCACTAGGTGCAAAGAGAAGCTGGGTACCTAAGGTCTTCTGGAGAAAAAATCCAGGGTGTAGGATAAAGCAAAACATTGTAATCCACATAGCCAAGTGTGTGGCTGTTGTTTTCAGGATATGAATGGTTCTTTTCCTCGTTGAAGACCCTCCAGCTACTTTCAAGATGAAGAACAGGAATAAAAGCCTTGTTCATTGATAATTTATTTTTTCTATGTATTGTGTGCGATTTTGTCCCATGCACATCTCTTTATATTTTATATTTTAGGGCCTAAACACGGCTCAATCCAAGTTTAGCCCTTCAATATTAAAGGTCATATGTTACATTATTGTTTCGGATAAGAGTGAATTTGGTACCTATTAAAACGTTTAAACTCGCTGCATTTGTTTGCACCTGTTCTAAGTCGGGAACCTGATGTTCAGAGGTTGCCGTTTGTTGATGTGGTTCATAAGTGTTCTCGTTTCTTGTTTATTATATAGATTATACCGTTGCATAGTTTTCCCGTTTGAATGGTTTTGCACTGGTCATTTTGGGGCCCTTTGTAGCTTGCTGTTCGGTGTGAGCCAAGGCCTCGTGTTGAAGATCGTACTTTGACCTACAATGGTTTTTCTTTTACAAATTGTGACTTGGATGGAGAAATGTCTCATTGGCACTCATACCACATCTTCTTATATCTATATATGGTCTTTTTAAGTGAATTGGGAGATTGGGATTTCTAGCTTTAATCTCACCCATGTCAGCTTTTTATTTGTATTTAAAGAAAAGAGAGCTAGTTTTGTATTCTTTAATATACTGTAACAGTTTAATTTTCCATGAAAAAAGGACAGTTTTTTCTATGTCCGGTAGCATCGTATCATATCTGGACATCGGCTGTTGTCTGCTCTTTGGTCGGGTTGTTGTCTCTTTGACATATTCCCCATTTCCATTGTCAATTTTATTATCGGTAGGCATGTAAAATTGCCAAACCATACACGACCGTTCATTAGTCATCGTAGATCTATTCCAAGTCTTAATAAGTCTACACAAAACAGAAAAGGAACTTTTACAACAAGGAATATTACACAACTGAAGCCATAGTCATAAATATCGATTGACTGATTGGTGTTCCTTTAACGTCGCCGCAGAACATAAAATTATTACCTGATCTTCATTTTCAACATCTTCAATCTCTATTGTTCCCAAGGAAGCAACCATTTGATTCTCTGGGGTGGGGCAGGGATTTGTACCCGAAGTCAATAATTTTTTTTAACCCAGACTAAAAAACATGCCTTTATCCATGGCTACACACAAACACAATAATATTTTCAAGATTTATTAAAAAAAAATTTAGTTTACACTTTTATATCTTTATGTTGTTTTGAAATATTAATTTGACTTGAATTTATACGAATTTACTAAATATACATGTTTATACCAAGCCAAGTCCGTTTATATCTTGTTTCTCGCCTGACTATACAAAAGGCCAGGACAGCTTTGGCCATCATTTGTAGTCTTTGATAGATATGATTGACTGATAAGCTGTCTATATAAAGTAAAGGGACAATGGCATGAAGAAATCACCAAATCACCATATACAATACACAAAAAGACACCCATAGCTTACCATATGGTCTTCAACTACCCACCAACAGGCAGTAAGCTCTGGTTGGCCTTAAAAACAAATCAAAGGGCACAGCAAAATGAGAAAATATCCAATTAAAACTGGGTGACCTGGGAGGAAAACATTGGAACTTTCCTAAGAAATACAAATTTCACCCCCTCTCCCCTCAACATTTTAATAAGGAGATGTGGTATGATTGCCAATGTGACAACTATCCCCAAAGTTCAAATGAAGTGGATGTAAGCAATTATATATAGGCAACCGTACCACCTTCAACCATGAGAAAAAAACCAGTAGGGTATAGTCGGCTATGAAAGGCTCTGACATGAAAAATATGAAACAGTTCAGTTGAGAAAAAACGGCCTAATTTATAACACAATAAAACAAAAAACAAATATGACAGACATCAATAAACGACAACCATTGAACTACAGGCTCCTAACTTGGGATAGGCACATACAGTAAGTATCCCGTTAACCTGCGACGAGTTCTGTTACAGAAGAACATAAGAACAAACTATAAAAATCATTTGAGAAGGGCTTAACATACATGTATCAGATCGATACAAAACAGAAAAAAAAACATCTAACAAAAGCACAGACCGGACGTGGCAGGGTATTTATACATCCTTAACAATCAAAAAAGGACACAAAGTACAGATCTGAGAGTAATCGCAGTACTGACAGCTAGTTTAAAGCCAATAACAACTAATACAAA